TTAGACTCAGAAAGAAAAATTTGGTTGGAGCTGCAATAAAATTTGTAAAGGTTAACATTAAAATGGATAATTCTTTGAACCAGAAATATTACTAATCAGTACAAAATAAGAACATATTTTTCTGATTTACTTGTTAAAAGCTGCTTCCTTATGGAACCATTTAATCACATTTGATATGATTCTCAGTTATGCTGCTTATTGACTTTATTAAGCCTTAAGGTTAAAAAAAACTAAGAGAGAACTAATATTTATACAAAAATAATTGAAACTGACTCTTAAAGTGTTTTGTATGCTTTTTTAATAACTGTAATTAATTGCATTTGAAATGACACATAAATTTCCTTTATACAGATTTTTGAGTTATAGTCTAGAAGTGGGCACGTTTATAGATTGATATAAAACTTTGAAAACAAACTGGAAAGATTTCATGAAGATACCTTAGTAGAAAGCTCAGCTAGAATTATCAGGCCAGTACAATCAATACTTGGCCTTTGTCAATACACTGCCTCTGATGCCAGATACTTCATGAGGAACTGAAACTCAACCTTCTTGCTCCCATAAATTACCCATATACTGAATATTACCTGATTGGGTAAACCTAACTGGGGAAGTCTTCTGATATCTTGAAACAAATTGATCTGTGTTCCTCATATCTTGTCCTGACTGGTGTAGCAAGGACTATTTCTATTCATATTAAAGTATAGTGCTTAATAAAAATACTTTTGCTCCCAGTTTCCCAGGATTCAGTGGGATGCCATGCGGTGTATTCTTCCACCATCATTATCTATTATTGCCTATTATATTTTATGTACTATACTGCATAACATAATATTGTAGAGATGCCAAGCCACCACTGACACAAGCTCAAGTATCCAGAAATTGATTTTCAGAGACTGTAGTTTCTCAAGCAACCTCATAGAAGTAACTTCAGTACAATAAAGTGCTGCCATTTTATAGCTGCACAGCTAGTTCACACAACAGTTTCCTCAGATGGTTCTGAAGACTGTGTCCCTACTGAGGTCTATTCATACATTCAGAAACATCCTTACTGTCTTTCCTTATTTTGCTGATTTGGTCTATGTGAAACAGTTCCTCTTATTTATATCATCATGTGTGGTGTTGGTTTGTTTGTTTGTTGGTTTTTTTTAATTTGTTGTGGTTTTAATTCATGAGACTCCTCTTTTTAATTTACTTCCTTCTAAAAGTTTCATTAGGAGATGAGTTTTCCACACCTCTTCTCAGTCCAGCAGAGATTTTAATAGAGTCTGGTTTCAAATATTGAGTATGTGAGATTAGGTCTGAAGTAAAGTAATAAAAAACCTGTGAAGAATGAAAAAATAGAACTAAAAAGAACCATAAAATACCACAGAATCTGCCTGATCTTTACCTGAAGTATTGTTTAAAAGTCCCAGTGATGGAGGCTTCACAGTTTTCCCACAAAATCCCTATCAGTATTTTATTGCCAGTGCTGCTAGAAAACTTTTCCACTGATATGTAAAAGTTAAACTTCACTTACTGCAGCTTCAAGGATGCGGAAACCAGATTGTTCTTTCTCTCTTTGCAGTTTTATGTCCCTCTAGCCAGTTACTTTCCTGTTAGCCTTCTTATTAAGCTGAACTTCCTTAAGTCTTTCAGTTTTCTAGATTTATGACCATTCTTTGTCTTTCATACTCTCTCCCAAAACACTGTATGTCTTTCTTGAATTGCAACATTCAGAACTGGAGACAAAACTACTGCAGGCACTTTACTGATGCTGACCGCAGCAGAAAGACTACGTCATGTGTTTTGTAATAATCTCTTACATCTGTTATTCCTGATTTCTCCTGACAAAATGATGTCTGGTCATCTTTTTGTTTATATGAAGAGAAAAACTTTGGGGTTTTTAATTTTCTTTTTTTTTTTTTAAATAACTAAATTATACTTCCAGATTCATAGCAAACTTTTATTTAGCTGAAGATTGCTATAAAACTAAGCTCAACCTCCATGAGGACAAGTGTCATTAGTACATTGGATGTCACCTGGATTAGAAATCTTGGTATCAGTCAGCTGGGGCTGAATCAAAGAGTGTTTGGGTGCTGTGTGCTGAGGATGCAGCTGTGGTTTCATTGGTCACATGCTAAAGAAACAAGTAGCGGTTATTTGTATTTGTGAGCTCCATACGTATGAAGATATGTTCACAGTTTATATACATATATACCTTATGCAGGCTATAAATTAAACATACATAATCAACAACCAATTTTTCCTGATGACAATTTAATTGTGTCTATTAATTATTCCATATAGCCAGATAGTAAACATATGAAATGCCAAAGATTCAGGCATTCAAGGATTCAAGTAAAAGTATCTTTGATGTGTTTGGACCATTTACTTTGGAAAAAATAATGAAATGTTTCAGTTCAGAAATGCATATATTCATTTCAGCATGAGGTAGTTTAGGAGGATATACACACACTCTGCAACTCAGTGTTTGTTTCTCTGTCAGGAATAGAATTCAGAAAAATACAATACGTAATTTAGGGTTAAGATATATAAAAGAAATATGAGGAGTTGCAATATTACAGAAATCTATGAAACTGCAGAAACAAGTGCAGAGTAATGAATTGCTTAAGTATTGTGCAAATAATTACTGTCATTAAGGTGCAACTGAAAAACTAACAGGTGTATTTTCTTGCTTCTTTAAGGCCAGAAGTCTGGGCATATTGCATTACAAAAAAAACCCAACAAACACAAAAACCAAAAAACCAAACCAAACTAAACAAAACCCCAAACAAACAAACAAAAATCCAAAACCAAAAACAAAACTACAAATCCCAGAGTTTCTGTAGCCAGATTTTCTTAAAAATGTTTGGTTATTTATAAAGTTTCTGGATTACGTTTTATGGTTTCTATTTAGTTTTTAAATAACTGTAATGTTGGCCTTTTTGATACACAAATAACTTTTCTTGGTGATAAATTCCTTCCTAACTCCTTCGAATATACAGAAGTCAAATGAATTCTACAGTATTCTATATATTTCAACTTTTCCAGCTTATTCACACTAAAGCAGTTTGTGTATTTGTAAAATACAAATTACATCAGCTGTTACTTTTATATCTGACTCCCCAGTGCAATTTGTCAGTTGGGGGAGGTATGACCCTCCCTCAGACAGAAAAACAAATTGGTTGTTGTGGTATAGCATTATCTGTACATCATCAGGTATGCAAAGCAAGACAAGACAGAATTGCTCTTCCATAATAACATTGGTGCATTGTCTTTCTGTTATTCCAAATGATGTGCAATATATGGTTAATGGTAGTACAGGGAGAGCAGTATTTTATTACTTTAACTTACATTCTTGTTCTAAGGTACTGCATGAAAACCTAATGTCATCTGGATATCATAGCAGTCCTTAACATATAATTACATAGGACTAACGTTACTTGATCAAAGTAAAAGAAAAAGCTCTGATTTCTTTTAGAAGCCATCTGCCACAAACCATTATCATTTACGTAGGCCCTAAGTTACAGTTTCCATTTTAATAGTTCTATTAGTGTTTGGGTGGCTTCTATGAAGATTATTCAATAAACATTGTCCAGAAAAAGCTAGATACTTTTAATGCATAATCCTCTGGAATGTTTATTAAACAGTAACACTGAACCTTCTGACAGTTTTATTTCTGAGAATGTTGTAACATTATTATGCATCCCACCAGTAATTCTGCATTACTGAAAACTCCTGTGCAATGTAATGAGTCTTAGCAAAAGCAGATGCAGTTGAATTAATAACAGGGACATCAATGCACTATGGAAAACCATATAGAGGAAGGAGCTGTATGGGGGGTGGGGGAGATGTAGAAAAGAATTCTGTTTCACATTTGCTGCAAAAAGTAACTGAAATAAGAAACAGTAACATAAGGATTTGAAAATCCAAATGTAAAAAGTGGATTCACCTGAAAGAGTGAATCAAGCATTATATATATACCGTTTAATGCAGAGTTTCTGCACAAATTGAATTTAACTTAATTATAGGATGAAGAGGTTCTAAAAATTTACTTTAAATCCTAAGTGTTCTTGAATTTTCTTCTGTATGTCACATTTTCTGTGAGGCCACCCTGCAAGAATCCTTTTATCACCTGTTAAATAGATGCTATTCTTCTTAACTAACTACAAAGAAAGCTCTGTCTAAGGTTCAGTACCCTTAATACAAAGCCTCCAAAGAAGGAATGGCTTCAGATAAAAGTCAGTGCTTGGCCATAATGAACCTAGTAAATGTTGGTTTCCTGCAATAAAAATAATAGGTGAAATCTTGGCCTATTGAAGTCAATGGGAATTTTGCCATTGATTTTGGTAAGGCCAGTATTGCAACCAATAAATCTACTGACCAAACTAAAAGAAGTGGATGAAGGAAGAAAAGGGACTTAATGTAACAGAACCTCTAGGTTATTTCAGTCCTTGTTTTACTCTCCTTTGCCTGAGTGAATAGCTCCTGATACTCCTGAGATTTGCTCACAGGAACTATTGTGGCAGTGTACTGAACACCAAATATTTACAAAAGCATTTAATGAGTAATTCTGAAACAAGAAAATCAGCTTTGTTGTTATAATGAGTTAGTCTCAGATTCAACCAAAGGCTATTTTAGGGGTGAGTAACCAAGGGCAATTGCCCAAGACCAGATACCATGGGGAGTGTGTTAGAACACAATAATTAAAAGTACAAGTTATCCAACATGCCTCAATCTATACCTGCTGGAGCTCCACACATATGCAGTTAGGTCTTTCAAATGCAATCCTTTCAGTAATGTGAGTAAAATACCAGGGAAAAAAAATAGTTAGAAATAGAAATGTCTTTTTATATTTATATTCCTACCTGTGTTCCTTTTAATTGATGTGTGAAGATGATTTCTAATTATCTAATTAATTTCTATTCATCTAACCTAATTTCTAATTTCTGATGTATATTAAGTGTAGCCACCATATTTTTGCATGGGTTTTCCCAAACATCTGTTACACACATGCACACATGAGCCATGCACAGCAAGGCAGTTTCAGAAAGCTGCAGACTAACAAATCAAGTACTGTACAGCCACACAACAGCCATGCTATGGTCTTGTCTGGAAACAAAAGACACTGCATGTGAGGTGATGTATGTGTTAGTAGCCCATCATGGGCTGTACCATAACTTGAAAGCCCTGTGTTTCATTAGGAGGTGAAAGCTGTGGGAGAAATTTGAACTTCTTGTTCAGGTGTTCCACTATCTGGATCAGAATGTGGAGGACAACCATCCACTTTGTGGGTTAAATCTCATTTTAATACTTACTAGAGCCTTCAACGATAAATTTTCTCCACCACTTAAAACACTCTGCAGGTTTCCAGCCCAGAGTGGTTACCTGGTAATTCAAGCAAACTTTTGTGTTGTCTGAAACTGCAGGACATCCACTTTGGTTTTGACCGTCATGGGTATTAAGTGCTTCTCCAAACTGGGGTAATCAAACAAACAAACAAACAAACACGAACAACTGTTTTATGCAGAAAATATTTCACATTGTGTCAGTGTTCTTTCTCTGTAAAAATGTTTTTAACACTAGTGAGAGGCACACATAAATGATAAAATTTGTATTAAATCTTTTGTGAGTTCAGCTGATGTGGCTCATCAGAACATTAGTTACCTCTAATCACCAGTATAATTTTGGGTAAGATGAAATCAGCCCTTCTTATTAATCACACTGTATATCTGACTCTTGCTTCTTTCTACAGTCTTTAAATCAACTCCATCTGGTCCTCACTATTTAATTGTGCAGTTTACCTTTCACAATGAAACTGGCTTACTCCTGCAGAAGAAGATCCAATGTGATAAAAATTCTTAAGTAAAACAGTGGTTGCTTAAGTCTGGGATCAGATAACTATAAAAAACACAATCAGCTACGAAATGAAACTGGGTGTAAATTGGCTTGACTCCAGCTGATTTCAGTGGAAGGTATTGAAAACAATGTTCTGGGCCACCCTTCTTTGTGTTAATACTTTATGGAGCACATCGAGTAAGATGCCAGAGCACTGCCTGTACAAGTAAGAAACAATTTTATCATATTGTAGAGTAGTGCTGGGTTTACGGTCTGTTGTGGCAGGGTGAGGACTTAGGTAGGTAGCTAGAAGGTAATGACTCCTCTTATGTTAACTAAAAGAAACCGAAACAAAAAAGGGCTCCTCTTTCTGGGGTGCCAAGTTTATTTAGAGGGTCCATGACAGCATCTCAATTCCTTTACAATTTTTTGGTCACAGCTAAACTAAGCTGCAATCATTGCTGAGTTTGTGAAACTCTTTTTGGGTATCTAACCCAGTAAAAAATCATAATGCTGAAAGACTGTGAGATAGGAGCAATCCAGGTGAGGTAGGATATGGTAGGATCTTTTCCAGAAAGGACTCACATGGAAGTTACAATGTACAAGTAAGACCTGGTGCTTCCCTGTGCTGTGCTTTGTTCTTTTAGGCATTAATTTTGAAGCTGCCATGACTTCTCTATCACAAATGCTCCCTGCAACCTCGACAAAATGGAGGCAGGCGGGCCTGCTCCAGCTCATGCCAGGAGGCCGAAAAAGACTGGTACTCTGTGACTAGAAAGGACTACCCAGCACCCAACAGTCATGGGGTCAACTGAGTCTTGGGCTCAAAAAACACTTGAAATTTCTGCTTTTGGCAAGAATGCCAGCTATGCACCCTTATGTCACCACAATGCCTAAACCAGTAAAAATACCACAGCTACAACCTTTTCTCTTTTACAGCTTGAGAACTACATTGTGGAAAACATGAAATCGGAGATGGTGCAGCTGCAGCAGAATGCAGTGCAGAACCACACCGCCACCATGCTCGAAATAGGGACCAGCCTCCTCAGTCAGACAGCAGAGCAGACAAGAAAACTCACAGATGTTGAAACCCAGGTATGTTCCCAGAGTGGTTTTCTAAAAGCTGTTAATTGCAGAGAACTTTTCCCATCCTCTTTGTTTTCTAATGTATCACCACACAAAACATTTCGTCACAGGGCTCCAAGAAACACACACACTCAGTTTCTTGATACCAACAGCAGTGATGACTGACCCTTGCTAAGTGTCTTTCTTTTGATTTCATTTGGTTAGTCTATTTAGCTCTATGTGTAAGGCGGGCAGGACTCTCTAGGAAACTAAATCAGCATTTGACTTCAAATAAACAGCCCAACTACCAATTGTGAATGATACAAATGTCAAGCTAAATAACGAGCGTCAGGCTAAAACAGAGCCTTTGATCTCCATTGTTGTTTGTCTCTTTACTTTAGAAGAAAGTTTGTTTATTTTCTGTAAGATGCTTCCAGCTATTTGAAAAGTAGTGTATGTCTGCAGCTTTTAAACTGTGAAGAGACAGACGAGCATCAGCTTCTTTATAAAATGCTATTTGCTATTATTGTAAAATTGTGTAACAGGACATGAATTTAAAGAGCCATCTCCATATGATTCCTAGTACTAAAAACACTACTGTGACTGAAGTGACAAGAGTACCACTGTCATAACACAGAGTACAATTTCATATTGGGCTTATTGCAGATATATGTATTGCTTTTTTCCCTTTGAATTCTTTTATCAGTTTAAGATGCATATTTATTTTCCTGATTTTTTGCTAGCTTACTCTTGGTCTTCATAGCATGTGGTATGTCACCAGTTGTACTGCATTCACTGTTCATTTAGAATGGGAGAGTCAAAGTATTGCATTAATTTGGGTCGTTCTAGTAGCATATGTACTTCTTGAAAGATCATATTTTCTGTTCTAATGTCTTTACTTACGTTTACAATACCAAGTTATTATGTAATTGCCTTACAGAACACTAAGAAACGACAGCAATTAGGAAAGGCAAATACAGTTTTACACAGGTTCCCTGCACATATTTTTCTACATCTTGGTTAGAAGACCAACATTCACACACAAATGTTGTGATCTCAGATGACCACAGTTTCTAAAACATAGTATATTGACTTGTGAAAATGTTGTGGAAAATCTTTTAATTCAATATCAACAGAATATCTAAATGGAAGCATAAGAAGTGAAGACTTATGGACTGTAGTATCATATGTTTAGTAAAGAAAAAGGAGGTGTAGGTACACTTCTTACATCCCAAAAGACCTACCTAGGTGTAAGTGTTGAGGACTCATTCATGGTTTGCTCCTTTAAGTAGGTAAGGAACAAAATGTGCATTGCTTCTGTCTCACTTTTCCTTCGAGGAACCACTTCAAGATAGAGATACCACTGGCAACTACATAAAGAAGCAGAAGTCTTCCTCCTTCTATACCTATTGCTGAAGAATTTAAGGGATGTTTGAGACATCAGTGAGAGTGGGTCTTGTTTGCTGTCCTTGCTCTGACTTTCAGCTCAGTGATGGTATTTCCCATGTCCCCTCTTTCAGCAGTATGAGAAGGTTCCTGGCTCTACCATTAATCAGAAAAGAGTGGTGCAGGTGATCTTGGCAGGCTGCCCTTGGCAGTGATAGAGGCAGCCAGCTGCATAACACAGAGATGAAAGTCTGTAGAATACAAGGAGGAGAAAGGCAGACCAGGATCTCATGCCTGTAAGAAAGACTCAGACCAGAGTAAGGAGGAGTCTGAAGGACTACAGATAGAACTTCTATCTCCTTAAAATCTCACTGACTCCTCTCACTTCATGATCCATCCAAAATCCCTCTGATTTCCTTTAGGCTTTCTTCTCTGCCTGAAGCGCTACTGTTATTTTGAAACCTGCTTCATAGATGTATCCTCTTTGGAAATATGTTGGTGCTTTCCTGTCTCCTCGCCAATCTTTGTAATATGCTTTCCGTTTCTGCCAGGTCCCTCTGAAATTGTGGTGATGCCTTCTGGCACTTCCAAATGTATCTATCTTGAACAACATAACAGCTGCATTTCCAATTTTCTCAACCTCTGTACCCTTAAAAAAAGGACAGCTCTAGTTGCTCTGTGAATGTCAACAATTTCAAACAAAAATAAGACACTAGACTGAGTTGGAGAGCCATTCTCTTTGCTTTATGTTCTGTAACAAATACCTATCAGACATGCATGAGAAAATGTCCCCATGTAATCCTATGACAATACTGATAAATGCCCTTGCAAGAAAGGTCTGATAGGTTCCATTAAAGAGGCACTATTCTCAGTTCCAGAAGTGATTGCATCTTGGCTGTTTTGGGCACACATACCTGCAAAAACTATTTACACAGACTCCTCCATACTCTATGTAATGAATGCTGATATCCCAACAAAATACACCAACATTAATTAAAATTGTTGCTTTTGTTCACAAAAGAATTCTTTCCACTTCTGAATTGCTTTTTTGTTAAAATATATTCTTTTTCATCTACTTAAAAGGCTTCTTTCAGTCTGATGTACTTAGTTAAACTTGTGTTATTGATACAGACCACCACTAAAATGAAAGACAATTGTAAAAAGCAATGTTTAGGATCACAGCCTTCATCTTAAAAATCTGTGTAAGTGTGCAAGTAGTGATAACACAAGCAGATACCAGACTTCATCCAACACTGTAAAAGACAGAACTTAGGGGAAAGCTGAAGTAAGAGTTCTATTTACAAAACAGTGGATGCATCACTTCAGCTTCAGTCCAAGTACTCTTGCACTCTTCTGGTTTACACATGAGTTGTAGGAATGCATGTTTGAGGCATGTCTCTTGTTCTTTCCATTGACATGAAGCTTATTTGGCAGGCATTTTTCCTTTTTCTGCCAGCCTAGTGTTATTCTACAGCAAACAGGGTGCCAGAATATCAGCTGGTACGTATCAGTGTAGCTTGATTGAGTTCATTTGCACCAGCTGAACATCTGAGGGTAAAAAATGATTTAGAAACAATTTTTGATGAATCATCACATGAATTAAATGGTTGCATTATGTTGCTGTAGCAACATAACCAGGACAATATAAATATTGTTTTTAATTTACCCTTAAGGTGCTAAATCAAACATCCAGACTTGAAATTCAGCTACTGGAAAATTCACTGTCAACGTACAAGCTAGAAAAACAGCTGCTACAACAGACACATGAAATCCTAAAAATTCATGAGAAAAACAGGTAAGAATAAGAAGTTCATTTCTTAGACTTTGTTCATCACAAAGTGGTCTGTGCATACTTTGTTATAAGGAACAAATGAAAGAGAAGAAGCAAATATGGTAAGTGGAAAGTATAGGTAATATTTGTGAAATGGCTAGAAGAGCTAGAATGTGAACTTTACACTGTGTTAACTCCTGTATGATAAACGCAAGTTGATTCTTACCACTTTTCATGTGTACTATAAGTTTACATCTCAGTTTGCTTCAGGACAACTAGTCATATGACCACAGTCCACTTTCAAGTAGAAAAATATTAATAATAAATTATGACACTATCAACTACATTAAAGTGCATAAGAAACAAAAAATCCTCAGTAGTTCATCTTTCTAATTTTAATGGATACAGAGATCTAACATGTAGAAGGATCTTTCTCTCCCTTTGGACTCAAGTGTATACCACACACCTGGAGCCACACACCATTTAAAGAATAAGTGAATGATAAACATTTAGGTTTTAAGTTGAAATTGAGGAAAAAAACTGCTTAGCAGCACATAACTTTTTAAGGAGTAAAGTGAGAGCCAAGAGGAAGTTTCAGTGTTGTCCCTCTGTGACAGATGCACGTCTAGCTGTGAGGGAGGTGCTTCTGTGACACAGGGACTCTGTACCTGAAGTCACTGGATGTAGCAATCGAGTATCTCAGAAAGCATGAGTGGTGGGTTGATCTTGTCTGCTTGCTAGGTGTCTCCTCAGCTGCTTCCTCACTCCCCCTTATCTATAGGACATATAGGACATGATGAAAAAGCTCATGGTCTAGATAAAGACAGGGAAATCACTTACCAGTTACTGTCATGGGCAAAACAGCCTTATTTGTTGCCAATTAATAACAATGTAAGGTAGGGAGAAATAAAAACAAAACTGAAAAGACCTTTCTCTCCTACCTCCTCTTCTTCTCTGGCTCAGTTTTACTCCTGACTCTTCTACCTGCTCCCTTGAACAGTGCAGGGGGATGAGTAATGGGGGATGTGGTCAGTTCATAACACTTTGCCTCTCTTTCTTCCTCGTGTTCTTCCCCTTCTCCAGCATGGTTCTTTCCTGCTGTCCTTCAGGATAACATTGCTGTAACCCGGGCTCTCCACAGGCTGCAGCTTCCTTCTGGACATCTCCACATGCTCCAGTGTGGGGTCCTCTTTGGGAAAAACTTCTCCACCATGGTCTCTCCTAAGAGCAGCAGGGGAATATCTGCTCCAGTGCCTCCTTCCTTACATTCTTCTCTAACCTTGGTGCCTGCAGCATTGTTTCTCTCACTTTTTTCCTCCTCATTCTTCATACTGTCATGTGCTATTTTTATTCTTTCTTAAATATGTTTTCCACAAGGCACAACCGTCTCGTCTAACAGGCACAGCTGTGCCCTGTGGTGGGTCTGTTGAGGCCTGCTGGAACTGGCTGTGCCTGGGATGGTGCAGCCCCGGCCTCTCCTCAGGGAGGCTGCTCCTGCAGGCCGCAAAGCTGCCCAAACCTGGACAGCTGCACCCAGTATAGTGAGTAAAGCCATTTTACTTCTTGGTTGCCCTGCTAGAGACCTGATGGTCATGTTCCTGCCTCTGCAAGGGACAGGTTTAAGCAGGGAGGACAGAGAGTGTTTTCACTCTGCAGCTTCTCTCTCGGTTCCCTTCTAGAAAAAGCTACTGTAAGTTTGACTAGAATTAAGGTTTCTATTTCCTGTGTCCACATTTGGCATTGAAATAAGGCAAACCGCTTTAAAAATGAGGTAGCTACTGAAGCATCCTGTAAAAGCTTTTGTGGAATATTTAAACTGCCATCAGTTTGCCAAAAGAGGCCTGTGACCCTGGTGCTGCTGGTCAGGAAGCAGCAACCAAGGTGGAAAGGCCTTGCCCAGGGCTATGTGTAAGGAAGTCTAACAGCACAATGGGCAAAGAAGGATAAGAATAAGGTGATGATAAAACACAGAAAATGTTGTTACAAAGAAATGTGGTTGCTGAATGTGTCAAGTTGCAAAGCAGGTCAAATAATATACCATTACTGCTATGGTTATGAAAGCCAATGTAATATATTTAATCTAAGAACTGTTTATAACCAGCAATCCCAGTAAATATTGTTATGGAGAAGTTGGATTACATTGAAAACTTTTGAACTCCACAGATTTCCCTTGACCAACTGGAAATAGGAATAGATTAGCATGTGAATAACTGTGACTTCAGCCATCAGAAAATTAAGTAATTCAGCTAAACTGTGTATGTGGGCTTTCCCTGTGGTCCACAAAGAGACTAAGTATATGCAGGAGGCACTTCATTCTACATATTTTACAAACCTATTTAAAGTTGGGATTAACCCAAGCATTAGTTAAGTATATAAATACTTGCATTTTTATCTGCTGTTGTCTGGTTAGCAACAAAATTTTGTTGGCTGCTCAAGAGACTGAGTCTTGTGTACTTAATAATCTAAATTTATTTATTTATCTTAGCAATGTGTCAGGGTGTAAAGCCTTCATGTCAGTAAACAAGTAAGTTTTGCTTAAGTTAACCTTTGACTTGGCTGACATTACGATGAAATGGTCTGTGACATGACAAAATAGTCTACCTTGTTTTTTTAAAAGAAAAAGAGGGTTGCACTTTTAGTACCTGACTGGTTATACCCTTTTTATACCCAACTGTTTCTCTCAGAAGTATAGTTGTATGTGGGTGAATGACAAAGCACATGGAGTTTCATCTTGTAATGAAACAAGAAGTGGGCATACACTGTCCAGGTTTTGTTACTCTCTCCTGATAAAGTTAGGGAAAGGGTGCTGTTATGGTTACACCAACATATGGATCATCAGCTCCTGTATCATCAGCTATGCCCTGCAGATCTGTGTAGCCTTGACCTTGTAGGTCCTGATCCTGAAATCAATGATGTGTGTGTCAGGTTCACTATGGGACAAACCTCGGTGATCTCGACAGATACTAGGTTTCTGGAAATGCCAATGATTTTAGCTTGCTTAACGTTAAAAAATACGGATAGATTACCCATCAGGCTATGTTCAGTGATTGTTTGCAATTAAAATGTCTTCATCCCTCTCCATATCACTTTCGTGTCAATAAAATAGACAAAACTCCTTTTATCCCTGTTGCCTACATGGACTCTAAGCTTTTTTGAATAGGACTTCTCTTTTGCAGTAGGTATACACCGCAGCAGGAACGACTTTAGGAACAATTAGCATAGCAAAAATAATCAAAACAAATGGTGTACTGTGGGCAGAAAATTTCTTTCTCTGTGCTAAAATTTCCTCTATATAAAATAAAAATAACGATCTTAATCACTTTCAAAAAAAATGGATTTGGAATGAAAGTAATGCAAAATCTTTTATTTATAATAGCTAATCATTGATGTACTACAGAAACATATATATTCCTTAAATGAAATGAGAACTGTGTATCAACAGGGGACCAACGCGTGTTCTTTATACCAGAAATATATCTATTCTTGGCCTTTCTCTTTACTTCCTGCCTCTGCTGGGAAGAGTGGCCAATTTTTTTCTTTTTATCCCACTGAAGTGAAAGATATTCCATGGCATAAGTCACATTTGCCCCAGAATCTTGTTTCTATTGAGTACTCTCATGCCATAAATAATCTAGTTTTGTGGGTTCCCACCCACTATAATGTAAATGGTGGTTCTTCCATTGCCATTTTTTCTCCCACAAGAGCTTTCTAAAAATTACTTTGATTTATTTCTGAAAGATTTCCCTGCTAAAGTGTCTTTATAAGCCCCCCTTTTTTTCCAGTGTACCAGCTGCATTTAACTTATTGTGTGCCATTTGTTTCAATATGCAAGTGTGAAAACAACTTTTTATTTACTCAACTGAAACAAAGGAGGAAAAATATAATGGAATTATGGGTCTTCCAGCAATAAATAGTGGAAGTAAAACTTAAACATAAAATCCAGCTTGAATTTGCAGACAATCAATATAGATTAACATGTTCAGTATGAGAGGTGTTGTATCCTATGAAAGGTGAGGACCCAAGAGTGATTCTTGAATTTCTGTCTGACTGTGTGAAAAATGAGGAAACACAGTATGTCTAATTGCAGGTTTTGCATATACTAAAAAGATAAATTCAGATTTTTCACTTCACTTTTGTGATTTCAAGGGAATTACCTTTTCACGGGTATAAAAAATAGCGATGCTAAGTGACCAATTACTTTACTGGTCTTGAGAAGTATGGGGACACATTTTTATATTTCATTAAACTGACCAGATAATATCAGACCTACAAAGTATGAGTGATCAGCGTATAAAAACACAGGGAAAATTTTGCTTATATAAAAGCAAGTACAAAGTAGAGAACAAGAAAATGAGAAAATATCATTCTTGCAGTCAAAAGTAAGAATTTAAATCCTCTACCTGTTTGTCTTCCCATACATATATACTACAAAAACCCCACATGTATATAGCTAAATATTTTTTTCTAGTGTGATGTTACTTGTCTTTATTTTTTTAATAGCTCAACAAAGTAAATGTTTTAATCTGTATTTTTAATAAATCCACATTTTTTTTAAAGATTATTTTAATGCAAAAGTTGTCTATGTCTAAGATCTGGTCTACATCCTGTTCTCACATGTTTTAACTGAGGGCTCTGAAAACAAAGATTAAAAAAAAATCTCTTAAACTGCCATGGTCTGGAATGGATTAGTGAATAAACTACCTACTTTATAAGGCAGATTGCCTAAACCAGACTTTCCTTCCTCCCCAGAAAGCTACCAGAGTGCTTTCTATATGCTCTGCTTCATCACCTTTCAAGATGACAGCAGCTTTCACTGGAAGTCATTCTTTGACTTCTGTAGGGGCCTTCTACCCTCTCCACTGTTATCAGAGGGCTTTTCTGAATCAGCTGGGCACAGCAAAGTTGTACTGAGGCATCCCACTCGCTTCTATCCTGACAAACACATCATGTGTATGGTTGAAAATAGATTCCTAGCCTTGCCAAGATCAGTAAGTTAGACATTGAGACATGATTAACATATATTAAAATCAAGTTTGTCTGGGTTTGAGGGGTGGTGGTGGTGTTTATATTTAATTTAATTGTCTTCTAGATAATGACTCCAGAGTCATTGTCCAACAGATATATCAGTGCTTGTCCATGTTAACATTTGTTTTGAAGGCTATAATTACAAAAAACATACATACATATCTGTATGTGCATGTGTATATGTACGTGTGTGTGTGTGTATATATATATATATATATGTGATGCTTCTAGTGAATGGTGATTTATTGTTATTGTGAATATCATAGTTCCTATGACTGCTTCATCTGTCTAGGTCAGCTATGTTTTCAAACACTTAGGAAATGTATAAGCATTTCAAATGTATAGGAAACATATACAGTAAAGTTGCTGTAAATAAGAGACAGTCATTACATCATGCCCGTAACATTTTACTGGAAGTTATTATAAAAGAAATTCATATAACCATTTCAGTCAACCTTTACAGATTGTTGAATTAATTGGTATAGCAAAAGCCTTCATGTTGTTTTCTTTAATATTTTATGTCATCAATAGTAATTTATGAAAACTAACAGAAATATTTTAATTTTAACTCTGTCTTCACAATGTCTTTTTAAACAACTGAGAAAATGCCTTTACCAAGCACTCAACAAAGTTATTTCTTCATGGTGTTTGCCTAATAGACATTGTCTGAAGTCACACGGAAAACAGAGAGAACAATGTGGCCTTGCAAGTGTTAAAAAAAATCTAAATGTCTTTGTAATCTGTTTCAACCTGTTTCAAGATTTTTTTGATGAGATTTCTAGCAATTTTTAAATTTAAACAAGCTATAATAAATATAAATGTAACAATTCAAATGAAAAACTCTGACTACATTGAAGTCAAAGGCTATAAAAGCAGATTTTCTCATGCTGTTTAAGGATTTCTTCCTTTTGGAACAGACCAGTTCAGAAATCCCCAGTCTATGTGAAGTTTTTGCTTTTGTTCAGTTGGCGATTTTACCAAAAGTTTCTCATTGATTCTTAGTAAAACACAATGAATGTTTTGGATTTCTCCCAGGAATACAGGGAGTGGTCTTATCCTCAGGACTTATTCTTATCTGGTGTAGATTTATGGATATAGAAAGATCATTGCATAAATGCACATGCATTCCTTAAAATAGTTTAGTTTTGCAGTTTATAATAACAGGACTTTTAATCTCCATAGAAAACTGTAAAGGAACCAAGGGCTGTGACATTCCCATCTATTCACCACATGTTGTTGACACACCACTCATAAATATTAGGATGTATTTTTACTAAAACCGTAAAACATCTGCTTACTGTGTGTCTCTGTAGAAACCAAACTGGGAACCTCTAAACATTGTCAGCTTCTTCATTCATGCTTGACATGGCCAATGTTGCTACAAATAACACTGTCATCACCATAGGTTCGTTTACTGTGGTCTTAGGAAGGCTACAGTGGGAAACAAATAATGCAATGCGCAAACTGTGGTTGTCAAAGGCGCTTCTTTTTTTCATGAAATAATTTAGATGTGGAAATCATTTAGATGTGTACATGCAGATAGGATGCTGTGGAATTATGAAAATGTCCTGCACTGTACTAGGATAAGGACAAAGATAAAGGGAACTTTTTTTGCCTTTACTTACCACTTAATTATAAAGCAACATTTTGGCTTCAAGAATGGCATTTTCTCTTACATTGACAATACACAGCCTTTTCAGAGGACTGTAAGATGTCAGACTAGGATGTGACCACACCTAGCACCCGTTCTATCACAGGCTGTACCCTGAGCCCGCCTTGTTGCTATCCAAAGTGTGTTGATGTAGAGCCTCTCAGAAGTTAAAACCTAGTCAAAATGTGAATTTCAATAATTTCCATGAAAAAGCAGACAGAACTGGTGAAATTCACATATAACATTTTTATTGAATAGTATTTTATGACTAAAAGTTGTTCCATCAGAACATTTTTAACCAGTTTACCTAACTAAACTTGTAGTCTGACCTTCTGCATAAATAATCTCAAGAAGATCCACGTGAGTCTAGAGCACAATGGCATCGTGTTTAATGTTAGAGTTCAAGTGATGAAACAAAATCAGCTATAAGTCTGATAAGGTGTTAAAATAATTTATTGTCTTTGGCTTCAAAATCCATGCTTTGTTTCAGATTGAAGCTTTCTATCATCTAATTCCACTCCACTGAATCTTGTCATGCTTTCATTAATAATTAATGAGCCTTTTAGAATGAGATATCATGTTCCCTTTTGCATTTGGGACCCCATGAAAAAGTGTTTTCCATTCCCTTCTTTTCTTTTTTACCTCCTTTATCCAACTCCTTCTGGTTTTCACAGAACTAGATATGTTGATATTAGGAAGTATGTTTTCTTCAGTATCTCTGTAAGTCCCACATTTATAACATTTCAGAAAAAGATTTGAGGCTTGATTTCTTTTATTTAAAAAGAAAAAATGAAAAAAGTTTTATATTACTCTAGCTTGTACAGCAGATCCAGGGCCTGAATTTAATCTTTGCATTGTTATCATTCGTAACAGCTCATATTAAGGCTCTGTGATATCTAGTAGAAACTACTCCATATGGATTTTATTACATTCTTCAGTTAGGTTAAATGACCTGAAATTATGCAGGCATTTTGCCACTGATCTATTATCCAGAAATAAAAACAAAGGTGGAGGGGAAGAGTGCAAATAAATAAAACCTAAGACTGACTTGAACAGGAAGCAGTTTGTTGGCAAGTTTGTAATCACCAGTTGGTTTATGGGCATGAGAAACACCTCTTTTGGCATATACAGTATAGTCACTGAACGGAAAGTAGCAGAGGGATTGAATTATTTTCTTTATCTGATATTAATAAAATCTTCCTCCTTAAACTCCCACCACAGCATCAAAGCACTGGCCTGAAATAATTTCTTGTTCACTGTTGACAGATATTAGCTGTCCTTTATGTCTACAACTCATCTCCTTTTCTAGATATAATCTGACATGCCTTTGGTCTTTGTAAATTATACACTTCCAACTCAGAGAGGATACTAGAAAAAATATTAGCCAGGAGAAAATGTTTCTGTACATGTGTAGAATTATTTATAAAAATTAATGTACACATGTTGCATAGTATGATGCCCAACAGTTTTCTGTCAGAGGAGCCTTTTGTGGAACCAGTAAAGGTGGCAGTAGGGGAAGATCTATGTGGATTCAAAGAAAACAAGGAAATCCTACCTTAAAATGTAAACTTCTGATTTATCTTTTGGGGAAACAATACTGTTCTTCATGTGAAAGCAGATACCACTCATCTGGTGAACAATTCCTTTCCCAGCTTCACAGACCACAGCAAATGGTACTTTTATTGTGGGTTCCGCATCTCTTTATGATACTCCGTAGCTCCTAATGCTTATCTTCCCTTCAGTAGCAAGGTCCTTCAAAAATCTTCCTTAGTTTACCCCTGATTTTTGTCTCTTATCATACTAAGCCATCCATACTACCGAGCCATCCATACTACCAGTGATGTCCTCTTGAATGCCCTGCTCTTCTCCCTGTTTTGTCTACCTGAAAGTTTTCTCCCTGAACTTCTATATGCGATTGTGTAGCTGGCCTTATGCTTGTGCACTTGGATGGATGTAACAACCAGATACACAGTTCCAGGCACTTTGACTACCACAGCATGCAAACATCACAAAATTGAACCTTAGAGAGCAGTTATAATTAGCTGCTTCATAGAAAAAGTCAGTAGGCTGAATTAGAAGATGGGATGTTTTTAGAATAAATTAGATACTGAATTCTGTGGTGAAAAACAAAATTGTTCTGCTTTCTGTATCAATAAACATATTGGCATGAAATAATATCTACTAATTGTTTTATTTCATTTTAGCTTACTTGAGCACAGAATTTTAGAAATGGAAGAAAGGCATAAAGAGGAGCTGGACACTTTGAAGGAGGAAAAAGAGAACCTACAAAGCTTAGTCACACGACAAAGCTACATAATCCAGGAACTAGAGAAGCAGTTAAACAAGGCAACAAGCAATAACAGTGTCCTGCAGAAACAGCAGCTTGAGTTGATGGATACGGTTCACGCTCTGATCACCCTCTGCTCCAAGGAAGGAGGTAAGATAGCACCATTATAAACCACTAGGAATACTAGGATATTTCATCTGAAGTAAGTCTTGAATTTTTGGAAAGGCAGAACTTAATGAGCTTATCCCAGGAAAGAAAAAGACATTATAACTGGGGACAAAAGAGCTGATGAGAACTCACAGATCAAATAAAGTTCAGACAGTGCTGAAGCTGACATTTTGAACTAATGGCTATATTTGTTTTTTGAATTTAATATCACTATTACTCCTTGCCCATAGCTGATGTAGGCCATAATTCCATTGACTTCATGTTAACAATACTGATTTGTTCCTCTGAGTATCTGTCTCCTTCTGCTGGGAGTAATCCAACCAACCTTAGATGTTAACTTAATAGAATCCTATATCTAATGTAATATTACTCTAGACTTCCTTTACAATCAATTGAAAGAACAAGGTACTAAACAAAAGAGAGTAACCTAGAACTTTATACATATATGGGTCTTAGTGTTGATGAGCTTGGATGTAGGCACTTATGGTACCGTAGACATCCAAAAGATTAATCTCTTCTTTGAATGAGATTTTATTTATAATAAGCGATCATTTTTCTTCCAGCTGCCTTGCTGGATTTTATTTGTTAGTCTCTGGCTGCGTTAGGCACACTAGAAACACGAAAGACAGAAATAACACCTTTTGAAAGAAGAGGTTGACAAAGACTGTATCACAATTCGCCTCCAACCTGTCTTTCTTAGTAAACAGGTTTCTTATAGAGACTGAGAAAGAAATCCAGGTAGGATTTCAATCTCAAATGCTAAAAATGCTGCAGAATGTCTCTGGAAAGAAATTCCTTTCATCAGAACTGGTCAAAGGAGATGGGTGAATAGAGACCACTGTAAAGGATGGAAATGGGACATTGAAATGAGCAAATTAATAATGTCAAAAAACAAGGCAAAGCCATACAGAAGAGAGAGAAGAAGTATTGTAATGGAGAATATAAGAGAAAAGGTATATGCTAAGAATAACAGCAAAAAAAGGATTAATGGCTGTGCCTGCTATAGCATGCAGAGGGTTAAAAATACGTGGGGAAAGAAAGTTTAAGAAAGAAAATAATATCCATCTGGAAAGAAGTAATCAAAACCCTTCTGAGAAAGGGTACAGGGTAAACTTAGAGAGAAGCTGTAGATGTGCAAAATGTGCTGTCCTTCAGTGAGTGTGCATGCATGAATGAAAGGTCTATGTGAGGTTAAGTACCAGCAATCCGAAGAGCCCAGCATATTTGCTCATTGTAATTCTAGAGCTCTAAGTACTATAAATTAACTAAAAAACAAACAGCAAAAAACCTAAACAACCCCCACAGACAACAAGCTCATCCCCCCCAGGCAAAACCTTGTCGCCTGCATCATTATTCAACACTTTGTTTAAGAGGCAGAAGGACATATTAGATCATTCGAAGTATTCAGCTCAAGGCAGTGTGGATTTGGTCTCTACTATATATTCCCATGCAACTTGTGTGGCTTAAACCTGAATTGCTCCAGTGGCAAGGATTACATCTCTTCCTTTGGAAGTGTTACATGCTCCGGTCTATGTTGATAGACTGCTTTTTTTAAAAAAACCTCCCCCCTCTCGCCCCCATATTCATTCTAAATGTTCCCTTCTGCTTATTCTGTTATACAGTTCCCCAGCATTTTGAATTAAGTAACATCCTTCATAGTAGGCTGTTCTCATATCAGTAAAGAAACACTGTGATGCAATGCGAATCCTTTATTATGTTTTATGGTCTTTTGGCAAAGAAACCTGGCAAAGCTGTGTTCAGAGTATTCTAACAGAGCTCAAGAGTACTTTAAAATTAATATAAAAATGAAAGTTATATTATTCTCATACTGAGGTATACTGCAAGTTCTTTTTAAGCTTAGAAACAGATTTTCTAATTTTGAATTTGATTCAAATAAAAAAACCCAAACAAACAAACATTTTTCCTAAACTTGATTTACTAAGTTGCTGCTTATAAAAGCTCTGAGTGAGGATTACAGGAGCGAGAATTTAAAATTTAGCTCCTGGGTACAAACTCAGGTGCCTGAAAACCTGAATTTTCAACAGTTTTTTTACTTCTGAGGAACTGTGGAAGCAAAAGATGCTCAGCACAGTTTAATGCCTAAATAAAATTTTAATAGCCTAACTCAAACTCTTGATTTTGGACTCCATTACCTTTTGTGTATTAAAATGTTGAGAATTTTCCTTGGATACCTTATTTATTTAAAGACAATAATTTATAATAAAATTGCAGAAATGTTTCCACTTACCATCTATTTAAGTCTACCTGACCAACATTTTTGGTAAGTATTCACAGCTGAAAAAGGGGCCAGATCGCTTAAGTTAAAATAATATTATCCTGCAGCACAAGACCGCTCTAATGAAGCTGGATACCAAAGCATTTGGTTGTACCAGAAACTAATACTAGCTTCAGTCAGTGCAAATATATGTTGAAGATGGAAAAGTATACATGCTGGGATGTATAACTGGAGCTACACTATATTCAAACAAAAATATGAAGTTTAGATAGTCTTACATAAGTCTGTATGTGTGCACTAATGTTCAAAACATAAAATAGGCTGTGAGAATTGGTGTTTATTGGAAAACAGAGAATAACAAAATGTGATACATAAATCAGTGACACCCCTTCTATCTTATTCTTTGGTAAATCTCAGTCATCTAATTTCATAAGGGATATAGCAGAAATGGAAATGGTCCAAAAAAGAATAGGACAATGGAAGTAATTAGAGACCTGGAACAATTTCCATATGAAGAGAGCAAGCTGTAACATACAGCACTATTAGATGGGAAAGAAGGTATGTGGGATGCTGATACGGAAGCATACAAAATAGCTAATGGTAGGGAGAAAAAGAACATCCAGTAACATTGAGAGATATTTTCCACTGATAAAAGATAGTACTTGATTAAGTCAAGTAAAGGTTTCTAGATATCACTCAGATTGATAAAGAGTTTTGAACTACTAGAAAGCTGAAGAGCTAGCAAGGGATGGGTGTTGTCATAGAGAGGAAAATTAAGTTCTTCCTTACATAAATCATAGTATTCGGGATTTTCCAATTTGTGAAACTGAACTTTGTAATTTTAGAACTATTTTTGATAAAATAATAATAATACAGGTAAACAACTTCATTTGAAACCAAGCTGGTGATAACCATTTTTTCTGTTACAAAACATGAGATAAATTTCCTCTAGTAATGACATAATCATATCAGTAGATTTATTTTTAGATTAATTTAAATAAGTTGGGAAACTTCTAAAAATCTGCCTGCTAGGAGCCTGTGAATAATGTCGCTGAACAGTGTAGAGATACAAGGCTGAAGAGAAACTACCTTTGTTTAGTTTTACACTCTGAGAAACTTAGCAAACATAATCCTTAGTACTGGAAGACAACCCTAAGAAATCTGTTTTGGTACTTCCACCATGGCAAGACAAACTTTAAGAGAACTTCTGAAGGATATAAGGGCAAATGAGAAAGAGAAAAAAAAAGCCACACAAAGGATAATTTTAAAAAATATAAATATAAAGATATAAATACAAAATCCAGATCCCACTTTGAGTGTCAGTTTTGGTACAGACCAGTTTTGGAATGGGGGCCACCTGTAAATCTTGGAATTGTTTGTGAGTTTGGTTTCCAAATTACCACCCACGTCTGCCCCAGTGTGAGTAATTCAAGGATTTCAGTTACATGTAATCCTTAAAATAGACACCCTAATAGGTCACAAAGCCTACAGAGAGTCAAATATACACAGGATACCAGAAGACTCACATGTCTCCATTTTGGCCTGTGTCTGTGATATAATAGATTTGTCACATTGTTTATGTATTTTTCAAGGAGGGGCAGCAATCTTGGCAGTGGCTGCCAATGTATTTCTAAAATAAAATTTCTAAAAAGCAGTACTTTCAGATACTAGCCTTCCAATTGAAATGACTGTTCAGTATGGTGAAAACTTAAAGTAACTTTTTAAAGATTAGATAATCTCCAAATTAAAATGCAGATAAATTGTCAGAAACGTTGAGGTGAAGACTTAATTAATCACCATAGAGATATCGCACAACTATCTCCAAGACTGTAGAAGTCCTTTGCCTGTAGAAGAGTTGGATAGAGATCACATCATTCTTTGCAAAGGTCATCAAAGATCTTGTGATTATTGTTTTCTTTGAAGTGTTCATTCCTCATACTACTTTGAATATTATTTGCCTGAGGATCGATAAAGCATTTTGAGACGTTGCTGTCACTGTAAAACAATAGATCTGTAACACAGTAAATGGTTTAGTGACAGATTTTCTAAGCTTTCACATCAGAAAAATTACTTATGAGAAGGGTACATAGTGCTAGGTAAAGTCACACAAATATTAGTCAAAAAGAAAAATACAAGGAATACACTACAATGTATGTTAAGCAATAGACTATCATCAACAAAGAAGTGTGTACAAGTTCAAACCAAGTAATTCAGAAGTTGTGTTGGTCTGGTAGGAATTATATTCCAAGCCAAATGTCACAATGTGCCCAGTCAAAAGGCACATACATTTTCAAATACATTGTTCTCTCCCCCCCCCCCCCCCCGAACAGATTGAAGATGTCTATTGTGTTAACATTAATTTGCATAATTTAGGATAACTGCCCAAGTACTCCTACCTACAGGATAAGGGAATGTAAAAATTCAATGGGAAAGCATACTTAACCATAAACTTATTTTCCTTTTCCTGTTTCTTTTGTTGTCTGTCAGACTGCATAGTAGCATACCTTGCTAAAACGTTTGGTCTAAACTTGTATACTTCAGAGGACTAATGGAACAGTAGAGAAAGTTTTGTCATGAATGTCTGGTTTTATGACCTCCTGGTAGGATAGAAATGAAGCATTAGCTTCCTGTTGAACCCTGACAAGAACCTAAGCTTAATTCTCAAAATAATACACATGTATGCTAGGAATTCACCTCCCTAGAAGTGTCTATTGAATTCATGAAGTAAATAACATGGTTAGTGGGT